GCACCATCGTTCCTGCTGTATCAAAGGTCTTACTTTAAAAGGGAATGACTCTGGCAGAAGATGACTGTGGCATACTGTGCCCATTGATATGTGAAAACGCCCTTTCAGATTCTTCACTTGTCATCCTCCACATTCCTCAACGTCTATAGCAATGCTCATTTTCTGTTGGGACATTTCAAGCTCTGCAGCGCTGGCTTTTGTTCAGATTTTATTCTTACCGATTCTTACCATTTTATCCGATTATCCTCTGCTCGGAATCTCCGAATCCCAAGGCTACACAGCCCCCCAGAGGCCCCCCCACCCGTACAATCGCTGCCAGTGGTATCAAGATCCGCACGGACCAAAATGCGCTGAATCTCACAGCTATCAGTACACTTTGTCGGGCTCACGGTGGAAATACGATGGAATGACACGAAACTGGTTCTCAATGAATGCTTTTCCTATCTTTTCCTATCCCGTTTTAGGACGAGAATAGCAGCGGGAAGATGGAAACCAGTGATGGCATCAAGAAGCCCTCCATTTGAATTGACACCCATTTGATTCAGATTTGCAATGTGGTCGATGAGTCGATGAACTTCTGTCTTGGGACTTGACTCGCTGGGAACTTTCCAAACTCGCACATGTGGAAAGCATTGAGGCCGGAGCGATTGCGAAGCCAACGCTTTCTTTCCAGAGTTTTATCCTGTGATCTCTGAGGGCGTTTGGATGCTCAGAGCGTTTTTGCTCCCCATCCACAGGAGTTGCAACAGCATACAGATTCTGTACAGATCATACAGCTAGGCTTGAAAGATGGTGACTATTTTGACCAGGTTTGGACCTTCAACATGTCGTCGTGCCCGAACAACTGTAATGGCCATGGCCGTTGTGACTTCAGTCAATGCGTTTGCGAACCCCCGTGGCCCCATTCTCAGACACCAGGCAGTCTTCCAAGAGATTGTTGAAGTCCGTGAGCATGCAGCATGCAGATGCCTTGCCAAGAGTGCAAACTTATCCCGATTCAATGTTTCAATGTATTTCAATACATTTTCAACACAATCATTAATGCATTTTCAAACGAGATTCGTTATAGATCATGCAATTTTAATGAATATTATTATTTAAAATTTGATCTTATGGCAGACCCTTTCTTGACCCCAGGTACGGGGCAGACTGCTCCTTGCGGAAGTGTCCGGGTACAGTTTGCTACTCTGACTCCTCAACGAAGGATGCCCTGATGCTGAAGCCCTGTTTGTTTTTGATATGTCTGATTCATTCATTTTCACGAGGTTCGCTAGCTCTCCACGAGTCCACAAAGTTGTGAGACTTCACACAGTACTCCGATCCCAACCTTCAAAAAACATGCAGTTTGGAGGGATTTGGATTCTCGTGACTCAGGAGCAATTCTGTTTGGAATGCTCTTCGCGTGGCAAATGTGTGAACAGCGAGTGCATTTGTGACCCTGGGTCTCCTGGCTGCACTTTGAACATTCCTCTTGTCATTTCCCGATTTCAGATGATTTCAGTCGAAAATCAACTTGCTACGCAGGTGGTCCTATGAAGACTGCTCAGTGCCCTTGTGCGAGAACAACTGCTCGTCAACTACGTTTGTTCAGCGTGGAGTTTGCGTTGAGGAACGCCTGCTATTCAGATTCACAGTGTATTTTTCCTTTTGGCGAGGTTAATTCTATTTGAATGCGCAGCCCATACAAATTGCTAGCTGCTAGGACTTTCCAGTTCATCAATGCCATTGCTTTGGGCGCTTTAGTGGCTACACCTGCAATGAGTGCGCCCTGTGGTTGAATTACTGCTCCCTATGAAAATGATTGGTTGATGGTTGATCTCGTGCTTCCGTCCTCTATCTTAGATTGTCAACAGGATGTGATGTTGACACTGGCTGTTGAAAATGTGAAAACTTGCAAGTGCGGGGCCCTTTCAGGCTGCTCTGCCTGAATGCATGTTCTGGGCGCTGATCTCAATGCATATCTCTGGATGAACTCTCACCGCCTCCAAGTGTTTAGATTTACCGCCTCCAAGTGCTTAGATTTATGATTTATAGCTATATAATGTTATATATATATAGAGTTACTTATTTTCATCGGTTTATCTGCACTGAGCTCTCCACTACTGCATCAGTTCGTCTGAAAATGGTTGACCAAAAAATGCTTGGCAGCAATGGAGTGAGACAACTTTGGATCTTGAGTATTTGGGAATTCATTGGGATTTTATTGGGAACTCATTGGGAATCCCTTGGGAATCCGTTGGCAGTTTGAGAGGGTTTGGGCTCTTTGTGCTTCTACCAGTGGGGCCAAGGCGCGGCGTTTGCAACCAGGGCGTGTGTCAATGCGAGAATGGGTCAGCAGCTTGGAATGTCTCCAGCATGATGCCGTACGATGACAATTTGTGTCAAATGAGTGCAACATGATTCAGACATATTCAGACCCAGTGATCTTGTTCTTTCGACAGCAAGATGCAGGTGCATGGTGCAAGATCAGTATAGACAAATAGGAGAATCATAAATGGTGGGCGCAAAGAATACCGTTTGCAAATCTTTAGTGCAAACACTATGAATCACCAAAGTTGGGTCCTGCACTTGCCTCCTGAGATTCCACGGTGATGACTGCTCGATCTTTATGATTGAGTTTGAAAACCAAAACTTTGGAGAGTTTATCGATCCAAATTCTGCCGCTGCGGCAGCGGCAGCGACCGCTGATGCAGCGGCAACGACAACTGCTGTGTGACTCGGTAAGTTGCTGGATGAGCTGGCGGATGATGGCGGATGGCAAATGGCAGATGGCGGATGTGAGTCACGATAGTCTTGATCTGTTTTGACTTGACCTCAAGGCTTTCAATCTCTTTCCACACTGCTTTTATCAAGTGCTCGTCCAGTGCATGCCCCCGGTTCCCCACAAATGTGGGGACTTTGTGCATAGAGAAATCCTCCCGCATGAGGAAAAGAGCCGTGGCATGTCCCAAAATGAGGAATCTCGGAATTGCTGTTTTCTTTGTTGTCTAGCAGCCTAGCAGGTGCACTTCTTAGTCTCAGATCCTGATGTTTCCTGATTTTCTGACACAGCCAGCTCTTGCGGACTCCTACCCGAGTTGGCGATTTGCTCATGGCGAAAAAGTTTGGGAAGACTGCAGCAAGTGATTCCTTTGAGGCATCTCAGATATATATTCTTACACATTCTTACAAGGAAAATCAATCTTCGTTGGCCTCTACTTCCAGTCTAGGACATTCTGGCAGATGTGGATCGGACATGTCCTGCAGCTAGCCGTGCACACTACCTGGAATCCTTTCTTTTCCAGAAGAGAATCCAGAAGAGAATTATGATGGTATCACTGGTATCACGGTATCATGATGTTATCATGCAAACAATCCCATGATTGAACGGAGTACATGAAGGCCACTGCAGTCAGTGGTGGGCCCACTGTTTCGCAGAAAATCTCAGGAGAGGTGCTGAAGAAGCTGAACATGCCCAGAGAATGATTGAGGTCCGTCATCCGTCAATTCAAACATCTGGATAAATCAGAATACCCTCTCTGCCACGTCACTGGAATGATTATATATAAGTACGGGTAACTATTCCAAAAGAGCCTTACTTCAGGTTGGCAAATTATCATAATCTATTCAGAACGATGGGTGACTCAAGTTACCTGCTGTCCGATGTGAATTGACCCACCGCAAACTCAGTCGAGCGCGGCGCACTTGTCAGGCAGCAAGAGTCTGAGGCATTCTGAGGCACTGGGGATGATTGATGGTGCTAATTCAGCCACCTTGTCCGATGGAAGTGGCAGCTTTGGGGTTCTGAAACTTAGTACCTCTGTGGTGCCTCGACTCAATGACATTCAGGCAAAAGGGTGTGACCAGCGGTGATGCAACGCTGTTTTTGTAATGTCAGCTTGGGAGGCTGCAAATAGATTGGAGTGGAAAAACGTGGAGTGCGTTCTTTTTGAAGCACGTTTGCATGGTGGGGTATTGCTTTGGCATTGCGGTTATTTTGGTTTCAATGGACTGCTGCCGCTTCGCCGTCCTCAAAGCATAGCAAATGGAGGGTGCACCAGGGTCACAAACCAACAGTCCTCAGGGCCATATCCCTCCAGTGCTCAGTCAGCAGCGGATCATTTCCACCTTCATTGTGCTTTCAGCATCCCTTTTTGAAGCGGCTGTGTGATGCCATGTGATGCCTGAACCCAACTCCACAAAAGGAACCAACTGGACCTAAAGGAACTAGGTTAACTAGGCCAAATAGCAAAGTTTGCTCGCTTGAACTGGGCGACTCAGAGGTGCTTGTGCCCTCGCGTCAGCCATGAGCAAGGCAGCCAAGGCTAATCAGGCAGTGATGGGATGTGATGGGCACTGGGTTGACGATGGTTGACGATGGTTGACGTGTTGACGGTGTTGCTAAGCTTGTACGTGAAATCCTTGCGCACATTTCTGAGGCTTTGCATTCGTTAGCATTCATTAGCTTCTTCTCCATGACCTGGTTCATGAGCACGTGTACAGGCATGGTAGCACCTGGTAGGATCAGTATATGTAAGTCATTGTACCCATGGACATTTTGTATACCAAGAACACATCCAGCAGACCCATGCTCCGGCTTTGTTGACTGCAAATCTCCCGCCAAAACGTGGGGGCCATTTCATGTCCTGAGCGGGACCTCTGAGAAGCGATCTTGAATGATTTGAATGTCTTTGTCGTTCACCAGGCAACTGGCAAGATAGCCGAAGCGTCCTTTGGCGCAGAGGATGAAGTCACGAGCCTACATTGTCTACACGTCACGGCTGCAGAAGCGTCGTTTTGCCAAGTCAAAATCTGCAAGACTTTCTCTCCTTCATATCATTTGAATTCATTTGATATCAACATATACTGTATCATCTTTCCTGAATAGATTGCTTTGAAGGAGTGAGACTGTAGGGACAAGGGAAAATCTTCGCTCCACTCCAATATGTACTAGTAAAGTCGTGTAGATTCAGTGCAGCTTACTCTGGCAGATTTGGAGATAGCGCTTTGCATGTCAAAATATGTCTGTTTCACAGGCGCTTGGACAAGGTCTCCCTGCGCATTGGACACTCGAGGTGCACAGGGGACCTCCATGGACCTCGTCCCTGTCTATCCCTGCCTTGTCTCGTTTTGCCAAGCAATTGCTCCATATTGCTCCCACATCTTCACCTTACCAAGCAATTTCAGTCCCCTTGGGTGCCAAGATCAACCAACATCTCTGCAGGCGCTAGAAAAGCGAGTTCAAGCTCTCTTGGACAGCTACCTGTCATCGGCAAAGTCTGCGGATGCGATCAAGAGCTTCAAGGATTTTTGGTAGATGTTAGGTCTTGTAGGTATCTATAGGTGCAACCGTTGTTCAATGTTTTCTTTGAATTTTGAGCCAGGGATCAGCGCTTGTCTACAATAGTTATGACATGTTATGACTCTTGTGAAAGAGGCTTTTGGATGCTCTTATATAGTTTATCTTATTTTAAGGTTCTGTCTGAACTTACCTCTTGCTGGCCTCTTGCTGACATCGCAGGATTTTGCAGCGGAAACTCCTGGTTTCTTCGATGAGGTGAAATCCTTCACCAGACCAAACAGGAACATCCATGAACGATGCTCTCACCAGTCATGGATCAATACATGCCTTGGTGTAACTCAGTGCTCAGATGGTGTGCATATTTCGGGGTCTGGGCCAGGTGGTTGTTTGTGCTCTGCGAACAGCATTGGGTTGCAAAGAGAAGCAGCGGAAAATGGTCACAGACCTGCTGGGGCTTTTGTACAAGGAGCTGCCGATCCGATCAAGTCCCACTAAGCGACTGAATGAGGAAAAGTAGGACATGATTTGAAATCATCCTGGCATCCTGCATCCTTACCAGCTATGAACATCCGTGCCCTTTATTCTAGAGTGGATTGGTTGAGAGGATTGTTCACGCAAGGAACCCATAGCGAATGTGAGCCGCAGTATGATGGCAGTATGCTGCACTCTAATTCAACGATATTCAACGATTCTTCGATCACACTTTCCATCAGGAGCAAGTTCTCGACCGTTCTTCCTTGGTTCGGGGCTATGCCACACTAATTTGTACCTGGCAGGCTGGAGCAGTCGAATACCATTTTTTCTCGGCAACAAGGAACCAAGACTCCATAAGACTCCCATTATCTTAGGGTTTAGAAGTATGTGAAGTATGCAGAGAGTTGTAAGAAATTCAGGTTGCTCTGGATCACAGATCACAGCCTATTGGGGTTGGACTCCTGGACTATTGAGTCATTCGATCAGGCGCTGGCAAGCACCAAGGGCGGTGAATCCTCGGTGTATCTCGCGGAGATGCTGCCAGACCCCCAACATATGGCCGCTCCTGGCGACAACTGATTCGGTCAAGCTTAAAGGATATGCTGCGGCACTCAAGTCATCTCAAGTCATCTCAAGTCTGCTTTCAACATCTTTCAACCCTAGCTGCCTTCAACATCTTTAGACTACAGGCGGTGGCGGAAGTTTCAAAGATAGGACACTATAGGAGAGGTGAGTTGTTGTGATGGGTGGATGGCAGAGCGAATCCACTGATGGACCGAAAGGTGTTTGGAGTTGTGTTTTTTCGGAATGGTCGCAATGGTTGCAGTGATCACCTCACCCACAACCGCTGGATGTCGTGTGGTGTAGTGCAGCTGTAGTTGTAGTTGTAGTGTAGTGTAATTAGTGTAGTGTAGTTGCAGTTGTAGCTGTAGTTGTAGTTAGTGTAGCGTAGTGTAGTGTAATTAGTGTAGTTGTAGTCGTAGTCGTAGTCATAGTTGTAGTTGTAGTTGTAGTTGTAGTTGTAGTGTAATGTAGTGTAGCGTAGTGTTGTGTAATGTAGTGTAGTTGTAGTTGTAGTTGAAGTTGTACTCTTGTGTAGTGCAGTGTAGTGTAGTGTAATGTAACTAGTGTAGTGTAGCGTAATGTATTGTAGTTGTAGTTGTAGCTGTACCTGTAGTAGTAATATTGTAGTTGTAGCTGTAGCTGTTGTGGCAGTAGTAGGAGCAGGAGTAGTAGTAGTAGTAGTAGCAGTAGTAGTAGTAGTAGTAGTAGTAGTAGTAGTGGTAGTAGTAGTAGTAGCAGTAGCAGTAGCAGTAGCAGTAGCAGTAGCAGTAGTAGTAGTAGTAGTAGCAGTAGCAGTAGCAGTAGCAGTAGCAGTAGCAGTAGCAGTAGCAGTAGCAGTAGCAGTAGGAGTAGGAGTAGGAGTAGGAGTAGGAGTAGGAGTAGTAGTAGTAGTAGTAGTAGTAGTAGTGGTAGTAGTAATAGTAGGAGTAGGAGTAGGAGTAGGAGGAGGAGCAGGAGCAGGAGTGGGAGTAGTAGTAGTAGTACTAGTAGTAGTAGTAGTAGTAGCAGTAGTAGTAGTAGTTGTTGTTGTAGCTGTAGTTATAGTTGTGGGTGTAATTAGTGTAGTGTACTGTAATTAGAGCAGTGTGGTGTAGTTGGTGTAGTGTATTGTATTTAGTGTACTGTAGCGTAGTACGTTTGTATTTGTAGTTGTAGTGGTAGTGGTAGTGTAGCTTAGTTGCAGTTGTAGCTGTAGTTGTCTATCTATCTATCTATCTGTCTATCTGTCTATCATTGTCTATCTATTTATCTATCTGTCTATCTACAAGTTTGAAAACGAAGCTATTCTGCGAGACTTCCTCAGTTTTTGAACTTGACAAATCAGAAGCGCAGCAATTCTGCGAGGCTTCTTCAATTTTTGAACTTGACAACGTCAAAACCGAAGCAATTCTGCGAGACTTCCTCAACTTTTCAAGTTGACAACATCAAAAACGAAGCAATTCTGCGAGACGTGCTTCAAAACGATCTTTCCATTTGGTTTGTTTAAAGTATTGCGCCTGCCACGGGTCATGCGAAGTGCTGCACCTGTCACGCAAAATCATCTTAGCAAACCTGAAGACCTGATGCTCCAAAATGCAACCCCTCTCAACATCTCTGATGAACATGTCTCTTGTACTGCGCGTGGCACGCGAAATGCATCTTTGCAGGTCCTCTTCAAGCGTCCCACGCCTGCCATCGTTTTGGATATGCCACAAAACCCTCACGTTTTGTTCACTTTTGGCAGGGTGCAGAATCCCTTGCGCCTGCCACACAAAAAGACGCTTCAACGTCCAAAAGTGGCGCGACATGCGTTTTTTTTAGGATTCTGACTTCGAAATGTGCTTCGCGCCACAACGGCGTGCACTTTTTCGACATCTGAGCTTCCAAAAGTGTGCCGAGGCTGAGGTGCTTTGTACATTTTGACTTCGAAATGTGCTTCGCGCCACAACGGCGTACACGTTTTGAACATCTCAACTTCCAAAAGTGCGCTGAACGCGGTGTGCTTTGTACGTTTTGACTTGGAAACGTGCTTCGCGCCACAATGGCGTGCACTTTTTCAACATCTCAACTTCCAAAAGTGCTCCGGCCCTGGTGGGTTTTGTACATTTTGACTTGGAAATGTGCTTCGCGCCACAAGAGCGTGGTCTTTTTCAACATCGGAACTTCCAAAAGTGTTCCGAATGTGCGGTGTTTTTAGCTTTTTCACTTGCAAATGTGCTTCGCGCCACAACGGAGTGCAATTTTTCATCTCTCATCTCCCCAGATGGCTCTGCACCTGCCGCTTTAGCGAGCCTACTTTTCGACCCTCGGGAGCCACAAATCATTGAATCGTGACTTTTCCACCTTTTCCCGCACCTGCATCTTCTTTCTTTGACTCGTTCTCTTCTCTGTTCTTCTCTGTTCTTCTCTGTTCTTCTCTGTTCTTCTCTGTTCTTCTCTTCTCTTCTCTTCTCTGATTCTTCCCACCTCTGCTTTTCCATCTGTCCATATTGTCGGAAGATTGACTTCTAAACTTCCTTCGATAATCTTAGTATGTCCGATATGTCTTAAACAATCCTAAACTAAACAGTCTTAAATAGTCTCCTAGGCTGCTTTCTGCACAAATCTTGCAGTCCTTGTGGGCCTTTGGGTGACACCAAGGCTAACCTGCATCAGAAGCGGGTACATTGCGGAAGAATTTCTAACTAGGCTCGCCGCATGGATCATTACTTTTCAGCATGGAGACTTCCGGCTAGTGTTCGACGTAGTGCCACGAATGTTTGGCTCCCAAATGCATGTTTTTTTAACTTTTGCCCTTTTTTACAAATTCTCAAAATCCATTGGTACAATTGTTTGTCAGGTTTTAATTTCCACTTGCCTCATTTCTTCGCTGATGCAGGTTGCCTGAAGGCTTTCTGACGGCGGTGCTTCGCGATGAGAGGGCGAAGGCTGCACAAGTTTCGGGAGGGCAAACGAATCGGGAAACTCCGCATATTTCATAGTCATAGTGTGTCTGCATGCTGTGTGCAGATCAAGACTGCCGACAGGACACGAAAGAGCTTGAAAAGGTTGAGGACTCAGTTCCACATCGCAGGTAGTCTATCACACTTGGACTTGGAGTTGCCATGTTGCAACCTTATCGTGCAGAAACATAAGTCGTCGAAACCCTTCCACTTACGGTACATGATGGTGCGAAGATTTGTCAAAAATCATAGTCTCCATTAGTCTCCCAAATTCGACATCTTGCCAGCGTGAAAGTTTCCCGTCCTGAGTAGATCTAGCAGTATTGGTCTGAGGCAAGAGATCGATTGCATCACTTCAAGCAAGGGATCGAGGTGCGCATGAAATGGCTGAAAGTTTGAAAGGGTCACCCACAGTGCCAATTAATGGAGGCGGAAATGAGCTCACTTGACCTCCGGTTTGCAAATACGTATCATCTACTGTACAGAGTTGCTAGCTTTGAAGGTGTTGAACTCCCTTTGCACAGCGGCTCTTGCGAAAAGGGTTCAAGTCCATAGCGGCGTAGGTCCTAGCATAGGTTTATGTCAGCTGTAAACCATCTGGGCTGAAGTCCAGGACTCACTCTTGTGTGAACTTGCTGTGATCGTGACAGGATAAGAAGCTCTTGGAGACACCTCTTCCTCATATTGACCAAGCCTTCTCGGTCATGAAGGAACAGGTGGGATGTGTTCTAAGACAGGCTGCAAGAACAATGTAATACGACAACACGGATGATCACTTACATATTGTAGTGGCCCGCAAATGGATGCAAATGGCATTCTTTGTTTGCTTGCTTTCTTTGTTCCATTTGACATGGAACTTGTTCTCCATCATTTTAGCCATGCAAAGCTTCAGGCATAGACGGACAATTTTAAGATATCTGAAGCAGAAGTGCGCTTCACCAACTGAGCCTTTGTGAGGCGATGCCTGACTGCCGCCACGAGTTTGTGAAGCGTGGGCTTGCTGCTTCTCTGGACTGGCCTCCTGCCTTGCGCCGAAGGTGCTTGGTGCCTGCCTCAGGACATGGATAAGGAATCTGAGAGGCTGAGAGGCTGGACATGGCAAGCCGGACTTGGCTGAAAAATCTTGTTCGAAGATTTCCAAAGAATTCCAACGACTCTTAAGGTCTGAGAGCTTGTCTAAGGTCTCTTGGAGACTTCTCTTTAGACCAATAGGTTAGCGGTTCAAAAAGGACAGGCAGACCCACCAAGCAACTCCTGTGGTCACCTCAGGTGCTGATGGGCCAGCTCGTAGAGAAGGCTGTGGACCGCTTTCATTGAACTTCAGACTGATGTTCAAAGCCAGATTCGACCTCGAGATTCTGAACATTTCTGAACTGTCCGAGACATTGTTTGTTCCCAAAGTTTTGGAATCGGAATCGGTTTCTTCATGTTTCTTCAGTTTCTTGAAGTTTCTTGCATTGAAGTGGATGCTCAGGGCATCCTCACGAAAGAGGACTTCCAATGGGGAGTGCTGAATCTGCTGGGACAACTGGAGGACAGCGCATAAAAGTTGGCTAGACCATGATTGCAAGAGTGGCGCAAAGGGTACCGTAGCTGGAGTGGCACAAGTCCAAAAGGTCTTCAGGTGCCCACACACACACACACATTTCTTCTATTAATTTTTGCAATCAGGCCTGTTCCATCCATTTTCAATCATTTTCTAATATTTCAATCTAGTTTAATCATGTTTAATCTATTTAATAATTTAATATATCTCCTTTGATGCAAGAAAACTTATGGAACGGTTTGACCATGTTCGACCCTTGTTGACTTCGCTTTTTGGACTGACCAGAGTCTCTATCTCCGGCAGGACCTCACGCTGGATTGTCCAGACGTTGCAAAAATCGCAGCGGAGCATCTCCGTGGGCTTTTGGCCAAGGATTGACGCCACTTGAGACATGACGACAGATGAGCTACAGATGAGCTTAGAATGCTTAGATGACACAACTGATATCAACTTTCAACTGATATCACATGATCCTTGTAGTATTTTCATGTATTTTCATGCATTTTCCAGTATCTCGTAGCACTTGTATTGTACTGTGATTCATGCTGCGACAGTGCTCTTGTTTTTCAATCTTCCAGTGCTTATCAAGGGGTCATATCTTGCGATGCGAATTCTTTCTTTTTTTTTCCTCTCTCTCTCTCTCTTGTCATTTCATGGCAAATGCAACATGTGCAACTTGGCATCCACCTCCGACCAGGACCTTCTGACGACCAATTTTGCTGGACTCTCATATTTGGGCCGACAATTCTTTCTGGCTAGTCTAGCTCGAAATGCGGAGAGACACTTTATCCATCTGACAACGTCCGGCCAGTACTTTTGAGATTCCACAATGCAAGGAGCAGGAAAGGGTCCAGTACAAAGAACCATTTCTAACCCAGAGGCAACTGTGCAAGTGGTTTGAAACTGCTCATTTGGTCCATCGTGTTGTCAATTTTTCGTTCCTTTGGACCCAGAAATCAGTTCCACGATTTCCCTACCAAACCTGGACCTATGAGGTGCTCAGGTGTAGAATGCTCCACATCGGCGGGGAAGCTGGACTCAAAGTTTTGGCCCGGGGACCAATTGGAGATCGCTGTGAAGCACTGTGAAGCATGATGTAAATTAGCATTATGTCATAAATTATATAGACTATAGACTATGAAATCTCTAAGACTTTGTTGAGGATTCACCGTGCTGTCAACTGTCGACTCTCTCTTTTCAGTCGTATGCTGATGTCACTGATATCACTTGAAACTGGTGGCTCAGGGTGATGCGTTGGAGCCTGCTTCCGCAGCACCCGTCAATCTCAGCAAGGCAGGGCCAGGGAGGGCAGAAGTTGAAGGAGCACCTTTGAAACAAACTTTGCTTCAGTGATGTATGTTTGTGCTGCCGTGTGATGAAACTAAAGCGCTGGAGCCATGATTCACTTCAGATTCTCGCAGCGTAGCTTTATGCACGAAGAACCGGTAAGACGCTTGCACGTGCCTCGCGAAAGTTCATGCAAAGAATTTGCTGATCAAATCTTTTGGATACGTTTTTTTGATTTTTTTTGATGGTTTTTGGATGTCTTTTGAGTGTTTTTGCCCCCGTGAGTCCCCTGACTTGACCATCTTGACCCAGTACACAGAATTGCCAACCCTTCCTCACTTTGCGAAGGTGGCAAAGGCCATCGAAGCAAGTCGACAAGATGCAGATGCGCCGGGGGAGGAAACTTGGTGTTACAGTGCGTTTCAGATGTTATTTTGGATGTGTTTGTAGCTCGGAACATTTTTGCCGCTGCGAAATCTTGCAGGCTGTGTCTACATATTCATACATATTCTAGATATTTTTAGATGTTTGATTCGTTTGATATGTTTGGCTGTCATGTTTCGTTCCATAGCTCCATGCTTTTCACAGTGGCCGTGGCTGCTGCTCCAGGAGCCCTCCAAAGAATCGCCCGAGGATTCCAAGGAAAAGGAGGAACCCAAGGAGGGCAAGGATGACAACGACTCTGACGCTAAAGAAGTGAAGCAGAATGGAATCTCCAAGGATGACTCGAAGGAAGATCCAAAGGCAGGGGCCTGCATCATTCTACGTTACATTGATATACATTCATTAGATGATGCTCAGGGATAAACAAAGTCGAGGGCAGACTTGGAAACGTTTGCATCGTGTAGATCTCTGGGCCTTGTGCAAATTGTGCTTACTTGAATTTCCATTCGAAAACTCCCGACACAAATGAGTGCGTTCATTATAGTCTATCCTGCGACAAATCATCAGAGTTCAACTTACACTAGTACAACATTTTATGCATTTTGTGGCAATCTTTCCGCAAACGTCCGTAAATAAGAGATAACCCAAGATAACTACTGTAATGTATTTGGATGCATTTGGGGATAAGGATGGATAAGGTGAACTTCATTGAACTTCTGTGTCTCGGTCGAGTTGCACGTGTTGCACGTGTTGCACGTGTTGCACGTGTTGCACGAGACACATGGTGGCAACGCACTGTGTCAGGCCCACGGTCCTGGTGCCAATGGCTTGACCGCCAAAGCTGGGGGCGGGCGGCTCTCTGGTGGCATTTCTCTGCGTCCTGGTGGCGGCTTGAGGCACTGGGAAGGTGTTGGAAGGTGTCGGAAGGTGCTGCGGGTTTGGAGAACAAACAAAAACCATTGGTTTCCCATGGGTTTCCCCACTCAGATGATCAATTTTGCATGGATCCTCCACAAGAACCCCCTCAATCCAATTTTTTGGAAAATGATGGTCAACGATTCTTGGTCAATGAACCAGGAAACACAGATGCCGTTTGACCATGTTTGACCTTGCTTCAAAATTAGTCTGGTTTGAATTGACAACGTGTGAAGATCAGTCGACATGCGACAGCTGCTAGCAACATCTTGAACTGCACCTGTGGCACCATTGAACACAAAGACAAGACCAGGAACCCTGCATCAGGGCTGCCTTATGTTTTGTTCACCGTCTTACTTATATTATATTTATTTATCCAATTCGCGTGAAACTCCATTATATATACGTACGTATATATATAAATATATATACATACAATATTAATATATATATATGTATATTATTTATATATACAATATGCACATTTTTTTTGCAAACCTATTCTCAAGAGATTATGGCGCCATTGCGATGCCATAGGCCGGGTGGTGGCCTTTCAGGAGGCATTGGCCTCTCAGGGGGCATCAATGGCCTCTCCCTTCGACCTGGTGGAGGAGGTGTGACAGGGCGACATGCACAGGATATTGATATTTATAGATTATTTATAGATTATCTAATAAGATCTAATAAGATCTAATGAGCAGATATGAATTAGTGAATAGTCATGAATCATCCGTGGAGTCATCAGACTTGATATATATATATATTTAATTGGTGATCGTTGGATATTATCGAGTACTGTATGAATGGGTATTATAGACCCTCCAGTAAATTGACATAGACCCTGCCAGATAGGGGTTGGAAGATTAGTTTCCACCAAAAATTGGTGATTTTCTATGTTAATTTACCAGAGTGTAATTTTGTTCATGGTGAGTGCTATTGATAGTGGTGCAATAGTCCATGACTGGTCATTAGTATCTACTTATTAAATCTTATTAAGCCCACAACATTGATGTATTATCATTATCATTTGGTTCAGTCTATATAATTAGGGGATGGACAGCATTTATTTGCCACATGTCCATTACAGACGGTATATAGACAGTATATAAGCAACCTTGTCAATGACATATGCCAGTCGGCTGACACCTCCGATACCTGCCATAGTGGCAATGCCAGTGCCAGGGCAGTGAGTTGGCCATGGAAGATGTTGGAAGTGTTGATAGATTCAAAGTTGATGGAGGCGAAGAGACCCCAAGAGATTCCGCATATCGGTTCTACCCAACAGTCACCTTTTGAACAATTGTCTGAGGAGACAGACAGAGAGAGAGAGAGAGAGAGACAGAGAGAGACAGACAGAGAGAGAGAGAGAGAGAGACAGAGAGAGAGACAGAGAGAGAGACAGAGAGAGAGACAGAGAGACAGAGAGACAGAGAGACAGAGAGACAGAGAGACAGAGAGACAGAGAGAGAGAGAGAGAGAGACAGAGAGACAGAGAGAGAGAGAGAGAGAACAAAACATGATCAAACCATACCAACCTGAAGATGTTTTAGATATTGATATTGCTGTTAAATAGCTATCGCGGTCTTCACTTGCGGAGAGTGGAGCTGACTGCAACCGCTACGTTTTTTTTTTAACCCACATCCTGAAAGCGCTCAAACTCTGCGAGGAGTTAACCTTAGTGCTCCTGTGCGAGAGTCAGTTGCCAAGCTATCCAGTAGTCCTTTGAGGCGCTTCAATGATCGAACAAGAATCAACACGGGGATAGATGTAATACATACGTGATATACATTGGTATGATATGTGATACATATGTGATCATCCGTGATATATGTGAGCGAAACCAATCTTCAACAGTCTTCCAAGATCTTCCAAGTATTCTTTCGCTTTGTTACTGCTAATCTCCCCTGCATGAGGTCCACAGCGGGCTCTGGTGGCGGCACCACCGCTTCGTCGGGGTATCCACAGGAGGCACTTCTTGCCACTTTCGTGTCGCTGTGTTGATGGCGACATCCAAAATATCCAAATCATCCTCTCCGCAAAGTGACTGTGGGTGATCAAGGACATCGTCAGTCTTGTGAAGCTGAGGCATGATAGGCATGGCATATTTTCGGATCAAGCTGTAGCGAAATCGTGCCATAGTCATCTCAGCCATCTCATAGTCGACCGTGTCCCGTAAGCCCATAGTCGGTGGCAACTGGAAGTGCAACCCTTCTAAGTTGGCAGATGCCAAAGCGCTGGTGTACGTAAGCTTGGAAAGAGAATTCGACAAGGACAAGGTGGATGTGGTAATTGCTCCGGCAGCTTTGCACCTGGGTCATGTGAAGTCTCCTTTGGAGGCCTTGGGCATGCAGGTGTCTGCCCAAAACGTGGGCAAGAATAACATGGGCGCCTTCACTGGTGAATGCAGGACATGGAGGTTTGCTATACCCTGATTGGTCACTCTGAGCGCCGCAGCAAGTATGGTGAGACTGATGAGGACACTGCAACCAAGGTGGAGAAGTGCCAGGCTGCTGGGCTCAAGGTGCTGTTCTGCATCGGAGATCTGTTGGAGGAGCGTGAGGCTGGCAAGACGGATGAGGTGAACAAGCGTCAGCTGTTGTCCCCAAAATCAAGAACTGGGATGACATCGTCATTGCCAGATCCAGTGGTAGCTAGTGTGGGCATCGGTACTGGCAAAGTGGCCATCCCAGGCAGAGGAGACCTCAGGTGGCCGCGCTTACATCGAGGCAGCGCTGAGGCAGCCAAGATCCGCATGGTGGGAGTGTCATGCAAAAAAGGAAACTGAGAACTGCAAGGAGCATCAAGGAGCTGATTGCAAAGTCCAACATCGACGGTTTCCTCGTGGCTTCCTTCATCTTTCAAGGAGATCGTCACCGCTGCGCAGGGATGAGCTTAGGAGCTTCCAAAATGGAGGGTTTTTTTTCTGCTCTGCAGCCTTGAGTGACATGTCTAGTCAATAGAATGGCCAACAAGAGAAGATGACACAATGACAAGGTTTTTGATTATATATATATTGTTATATACTTCTTGAGATGCCTTCTGAATCTTTTCCATTTTGTGTTGTTTGTAGCCAAAGCAGACACCTCTTGCACTCCATGCTGTTTATGTACAGTACGAGCGAACTCTTCTTGCAAAAAAGGCTTCTTTCTGCATCCTCAACCAGAAGGATAAGAAGGGGCACTTCAAAATTTCGATTCGCTTCGTGTCCCCTGCTTCAGTGTACTACCCCAAAACCTTGCGGCTTTCGCGCAGGCGAAGAAGCCTCCAGCACCAGCAGCTCCAAAGGAACTTGCTGCATTGTGCTGTTGCAATTAGTCTTTGGAGACTCCGTGTCTGATATTTTGGTGACCTGTTGACCGCTCTTGGTCTCTTGTCCTCAAGCTGACCTTTGTTCCGCTGGTCCGTTTGATTTGCCTGGTTTGCATAGGTAGCAATATGTAGCACTCATTTGTACATGTTCTGCTGCTTTGGTTCAGAACTTCCGACCGGTTCCAGAGCGGTCCAGCCACAGAGCATGACGCCTGAACCGACGAGCATGACGCCTGAACCGAAGTTCACTGGGGTGGCGGACTCTGAAGCTGATGTTGAGACTCGGGCAGAGACCACCGACAGCATCCGCGAGAAAGACAGTGACATGAAGGATGCAGAAATGGGGCTTGATATTCCAGCAGAAACTGCAGAGCCAGCACCGACGCGCATCATGCTTTTGGTGATGCTCAGCATGTTTCAGGGCTACGCATCAATGGTTGGCCCTCTTCAGTCAGCATACAAGCATGAGCTGGGAGTGAAGCACGGCACAGCCAATGCCCATGTTTTTACCCAGGCTGCTGTGGGTGTCCACTACGGCAAGCTGATTGCCAGACTGGGCCACAATGTCTTCTTCGCTTGCCTCAGCCCACGGACGAGAGTGATGATTGCCATGGTCTTTATGTTTGTGGGTGTGTTGATCCCATCTCTACTGGTGTTCACCTTGAAGTGGCACTGGGTCTACTCGGTCTTTGTAGCTTACATGCTATCAGGCTTAGGGCTTGGCATCTTCGAAGTGACCTTCCTGAGTGTGATCACACCCCTTGGAAGGCCCACCAAGTCCTGGGCCATTGTGGGGGCCCCTGCAGGCTTTGCGACCATCAACATCTTGGGGCTCACATTGAATTCTTTCAGCATGCCTGTTGTGTACATCTACTGGTACATCGTGGCTTGCTTGCCTTTCGGCTTCTACATCTTCTGGCAATTCGCTCCACGTGACAAGACAGAACTGCGGACAGCCAACTTCGGAGCATCCCTGCGACAGGCATGCAGCTGGATGCCCAAAATGATACCATTCTTTGTGGCGCAGTTTCTGAGCCACTTTGCCATGGAGAACTGGCCTGCCATTTTCTACATGTTCCATCCACCAAAGGTGCCGCTGTTTGACCCCAAGAGCGATCAGCACCTGATGGACTGGGGACAGTTCTTTGCCATCACCTACATCTTCATTTTCCTTGGTGACTCCATCAGTCGCAGGATTGCGATCTACATCTCGACACCTTCAGTGAAGAAGAGGCTGCTCTTTCTCAGTGGTGCAATGCTCTGCATCATCGCAGGTCTCTACTTGGAATCTTTGGCCATTGCAATCCTGATCCCCATTGCCATCTTTTTGATCTTTTGGGGAAACGGCACCATCTATGGCCTTACAGCTCATCATGTAGATAAACACGTGCCTGCAGAGCACAACCTCGCATCGTACTCTTGCTGGTGCTTCATTGGCGATTTGGGCGCCATCCTTGGGGGGATCTTGGTGGAGAATACACATGACCTGTTCTGCCAGGGCCACAAGGGACCCTTTGAGTGCTGAGTCGCACTAGGTTGGCCACCCGAGTAACACTCGGTCACATGGCCGACGTAGTGTTTTCCCGGGCGCAGCATGAAATGCTGAGCTCTAATTCGCTTTTGAGCAAAAGGCACACGCGGATCGAATTCATTTAAAGATATGCGAAACCATACGAAAGCAATTGTGCCACTGAAAATTGAAAAGGAGGAATTGACATGAATTGGTTGATGTTTACTGTTTGGTTTCGGTTTGTACGTTGCATTGGGCCAGTTAGGAGCCAGTGCAGAATCCCCTTTCAGACGGCTGGGAGTAAAGAGGCAATCACACGCATACGAGTATCAAAGTCTCGAGTCTCAGCTGTCATTTTAGCAGACACGACGATAGTACCCATCTGCGCCAGAAAAAAGATGAGGGATATTGAGAGATCAACTGCATCTTTGACGAGGGGAAATGATGATTGCAACGGGAACATAGTAGCAAATTACATCGCAGCACCTGTTTCATGACCGGCGATGCGAACATTCCACAGGATGACTGGCGCCAAGATGCTGCGGAGCATCAAAACGCGAAACAGCAGATTTCTCAGTTGGCTTTCTCAGTACATGAAGCGAGGTCAGGCAGATACCTCCGGGTGCTCGTTTGAAACGACACTATGCCGGCAAAGATCCTGGACTCAGGATCCCGATCCGGCACGAAAGGACACTATTGAGAATCTAGAAGATTCTAGAAGCATATTCGTTATTTGTATAATATATATATATATATTATAATACTAAAATATATAAACAAATAGAACAACCATATAGTAAACGATAAGAATAACAGCAACATATAATAATAATGATAATAATAATAGATAATAATAGTAGATAATAATAGTAGATAATAATAGTAGATAATGCATAATAATACTCATCATTAACGAGCAATTATCATAGTGATAAATGTTAATAATATATGTAAATAGATAGTAACAAAAATGATAATGACAGATAATACCAGTACTACTGCTGCTGCTGCTGCCGCCGCCGCTACCACGACCACCACCATTACCACGACCACCACCACGACCACGACCACCACCACGACCACGACCACCACCACGACCACGACCACCACTGCCCCCACCGATAATCATTGCATGTTATATAAGGTATATATATACACAGGTACATATACGTACATATAATTTACACATATACATATAATATACCTTCATCTATAAATCATTTGTGTATGTATACATATATACATACTGACAGAAATATTGTAAAAGGACCATAAGACATGTAATATTTCACAAGTAATATACACTTACATGCACATTATGCATTTATATTTGCATGATGTGTTTTTTTGGCAGAAAGAAAACTAGCATGGTGTTTACGTGCTCTCTCTGACTTCTTGAAGTCTCGCCACGCAAAGATTCAACGCATTTTTCGGTGGAATAATCACTGAATCGCTAGTGAGCGCCATACGTAGCCAACTTCGTCATCTGTTACTTGCAACAAGCCTCTGAGGAAATCGCAAAAAGGAGACGCAGGCAAAGGAGGCAATTATGCTTTGCGCGGCATTGCACGGCTTCCGATTGAAGGGATGAAATTGTTTGTTAATTTTTGTTACCTTGGCTTACTTGTTGTGTTGTCCATGTTTATTTGCTTCACTCTTGACTTTTGTTGCAGCTTCCTGATCTTTTGAAACAGTGCAAGGATGCCTGTTGGAGTGTTCAGTTGCAAGCCAAAAAAGGTTGAGTGCAGCATACCAACTGCCATTGACAACACGTTTTCCTCTCGCTGTAGGCAAAGGAAAAGGCGATGCTGGTAGAAGGTGGGCCTGCAGTAAAACATTCACAGACTGATTTAAAAATGCACCGCCCTGACAGGTATGGTATCCTTTGTGTTTGATCCCTGTTCTAGTATTCTAGTTCAGATTGCCAGTTTACCAACATGAACTCCACACAAATGCCATACATAGTAAATAGTGGTAGTACCTAAAGTCGTTCAGACAGAGCAACAGCTTGCATCCATCAACGGCTGTCCAATGGTGTCTGGAGACTAGCGAAGATCATGTCAAGTTATGTGAGGCTTCAAGTTGCCATCAACCCCAAACAAAGGAATTCCTGTTGCACCAGTTGATTCCTCACCAAAACATACCAAACAACATCTTTTCAATTCTGCATGCGCATGCACATGGAAGGTCGGGTCGAGGAGGCACCGCCGGCTTTGGCATCACATTTCAAATCAAACTCAAGTAGAGCTTCAGACACAAAGTGAAAGTGACAGCAGTGTTGTCAAGATCTTGTGGCCCTATCAAAGAAAGGATTTGGTATGATTGATTGTTGGCCATGGCATGAGGAAATCTTGTAAGCGCAACTTTTTGAGTCGGTTGCATTTTTGAGCCACTGCATGAATTGTTATTGTTTCGTGGTTGAACCTTAACTTAAGACTAATGTGTTTGATTATTTTGATTGTGTTTGCACATGTTTGCACTTTTTCTTTAGCCACTTCACATTGTGAGGCCGGAGGGACGATGAGGACGACGAGATTGAGGAACAACTTAAAGTCTCCGAAAACTCTTGGGCTGCTCAGCAAGCCAAGAGACAGGATAGGATCCGAACAGCCAGTGAGGTGCGGACCCAAATTCTCGGAAATGATTTGCTTGTGTGTTGCCTTTGACTATACAATGTCGACACGCTGTTGTCGTTGCTGCTGATGATGATTATCATGACGATGATGGCGATGACGATGATGTCCTTGCCAGAATGTGTGCGCTGCTGGCGATGTTCCACTTAGCAAGAATCTACAGATTAAGGGGCACCGGCAACGCTTGCAAGTATATCTCTTGCTTGGCAGGTGACAACAGGTGAAGAGGAGCAAGACAAGGACCTGCGAGGGAGGTAGAGGGATTCATTGAGTTCATTAAGGAGGTTGCAGGAGGGGGGCAACTTGAAATGAATCTCTTCGAAGTTTTAAGTTGACCTTGCTCTTTGATTCGCGGAAAGGCCTTGAGCAGTCATAGGAGCAACCGCATTTATTCGGGACAAATGAATGCATGCAGGTTTTCTTAGGATCCGTCGTTGGGTGCAGAACGATGTAGGGGGACTCCAAAAACAATCCAAGTAGGGAGTCGGAGTCTTGACGCGTTATCTGAAAAGGTGAGAGTGTGACAGGACAGCATTAGAAAACGAGGTCAGCACCAGACGCATTTTTCATGGAAGGCTACAAAATGTATGAACGATGTACAGGGAACTCATTTAGTCTGCTCCTTTCTTTCCCACATGTTCTAATGTTTTCGAATGTTTTCGAGCTTGGTCGAATGTTAGGCTGAGGTGAGTTCGAAACACGTTGCAGTGTTTGGCTCACGCGCCTTCAGCCTAATTAAAGTCGCCGCTCATATATATATATATAACTATATGTATTACAGTATATTATTTGATGATATATGTTATTATGTATGTATCAACGTAGACCTAAGGGGCGCGCAATCGTGCTGGTTACCCAAGCAGAGGAAGCCTTGTGAATAGATTGACCTGAGAAACACGTTGTGTAGACATACACTTGCAACCTTTGTGTTTCATTTGAAGGAGATTGCTCGGAGAATGAAGTCTCCATCTCAGTAGAGCGAGATTGCTGCCAATGCTCTGCAGCTGCATGCTCTGTGGAACTGCCCATGGGCGAGTTGTCCGACAAGTTTGGGGAACCATTTTCTGTAGCTGATAGCTGCTGCTAGCTCTCGTCTGTGTTGACTGGGTACAGAGATGCTACCAAGGGGCATCCTCAACAAGCTCACTCTTGAAAAGTTTGATGATTTGACCAGGTGTGCCGTGCAAGTGTTCATTCGGATCAGATATTGAACTTTAGACAGATCGGTCTCTACATGTCTCTACCTTTTCACCAGCTTTGACACAGTAAAGGTGTCATGCGGTTCAAAATTAAAGACCTTCTTGCCAAAGCTTTAGTTGAGACCAACGCATGCACGTTGAATGGACATTTCTTGAAGTTCTCTTCTTTGACCGTCAGGCAGCTTTGTGAGTGTGGCATCTCAAAAGAGGCGCACCTCAAGTTGCTTGGCACAAAGAGACAGCCGGCTGGCCTGGCCTTGAGGTTGCGTGGGCGACCACAAAAAACCGGCAGGAACTATGAACCAATCGGAAGAAATCGGTCTGATTGCAACATATTGCAACCAAAAGAAAGAGGAGAGCAGTACCACATGCAGCATCTTTAGATTCTGCAACAATACTTTCAACGAAGCACCCACTTGGCGGTGACAGCAACAGAACAGACCAGCAACAGCCCCACAGTAGAGACATCAAGAGCACAAATGATAGCCAGAAACCGAACAACTGTGAACAAACGTGAGAGAGTTCAGCCTATTGACTATTGAACAAGTCACCAGGTTCAAAAAGGGGCAGTTCACGGCAGTTCACGGCAGTTCCATATTTTACCCACAGATGTTTGCTCGCCCAGGATCCTGATGACAGAAGTCTTTGAAAAGGCTCGTGACACCTGTTCTTGGCGAGGCTGTTCAGATTCTCCCAGCCTCAGCCGTTTTCTATCGTTTTCTTATTAGGGTATCCATTGGTTTCCCACCATTCCAACATCAAGAAGCACGCAGAAAGAGTCAATTATAGTTGCCATCAAACAGAATGGTCATAGACAAGTCAGCGAGAGCTTCATTTCATGCATAGATGGACTTGATGTGTTTGTAATTGTGAGCTTAACCGATCACTCATCACTAGTTCTACAGGCAAGTGGTGTGGACAGCTTCCACCCGCTTGCCAAACAGTTTTACGCGGTGAGCCATGATAGGTGTTGACATGTCATGTGGTGTTGGTCAGGCGACGACCCAACATCATTTTGTTGAGATGTACACAAGTCTCTGTGTGCACTTCAACGACTGGTGCTCCGAGCACCTGAAGGCAGGGCAGCCGCGCAGCCGGGCAGCCGTTTTCTGAGGCAACCTGCTTGCCATTTCGATCAGTGCTTTTTTGGTCAAGCAAATGGAATCGGTAGAAATCTGGGACCATCAATATCACCAATTCACTCGTCTTGTTTCAAAAGATCTTTCACGAAGTTCAAGCTCATGAAGAAGTAAATCGCTTTGTAGCACGCGACATATCCCTGAGAAGGTCGGGAAGTTCAAGCCTGTCCTCCTTCAGCAGTGTCAGGACTCGGTCTTGTGATCACACTACAACTGATCAAAGCAGAGCAGCCAATTTCAGCAGGTTCCTGGTTTCACTCTACGTTTCACTCTCGCTTTTTGCCAGGAATCCTTTGAAGCCAACCTGAAAGATCCGCCAAAGGCAGGTTACATCCTGTGATTTGAGCCATGGTGGGCCTCTGGTTGTGCTGTGTGATTTGTAGGAAATGTCTCCAAAGAAAAAGGCCAGTGCCAGCAGGGAAGTGGCATCCTTGGCAGATCTGAGTCCAAACATTCCAAGCTGATGTGAATGCTGATCATATTATTATATTGATCATCACAGGCCTTCACAAGGCATGCACTATTTCCAATCTAGCCTTCTACCATTGGCGAGAATGATGCAAAATGATGCAAACTCGGGACTATGTTTCAAACAGACGTCACAAGAGAATGGCAATTTGTTGGTCTTTCCTCAGTGCCCTCTTGATTTGTGCCGAGGAATTGGAAGAGTACGAAGAGAAGAGACAAAGATATCGCCTGCGAGCTGGGAACTCATTGGAAGGAATTTGAAGCATGTGAAGCAGCGAATCTAGGATAACATTGATAAAACTTGATAAGATGTTAAATCAAATATTGATAACATGATATAACATGATATAACATGTTAAATATTTTAGACATTTGTCACGTTTGAAGCTAAGCTCTCAAACTTCTTGACTCTTCAGCTCCAGGTGATGGGCAACATTCGTTTTATAGGCCAGCTGCTGGTGAAGAGGACCAACTGAGACCAGGGGAGCTCCCAGTTCCGACTCCAAATCACTGCCAGCTCCCAGCGCACCAGACATCACCCGAATATTATGCCTATTACGCATTATTACATCATATTACATCATATTACATCCTATTATATACATCTATTACGCATTATATCGCATTATTATGCTTCAAAGAAAATGTAATCACTAACCTGGAACGCGTTGCCCATCACTGCGCAACTGGATTGTGAGCAAAGGCCAAATTGGAAAGTTCGAACTGTGCTTGACTAGATTTTCTCAAGCCACACAGAGTTTTAATGATTCGATTGTGGGGTATGTTATCGGAGGCTTGGGGTCCACACCGATCAACCTGGTCTAGATTTTTTGTGCAGCCAATCACAACTGGCAATAGGAGCAGTTACATTCGGTCCATCTCCTATTGTCTCCTATCTATATAAATGCTCAAGGGAGGTTTTAAAGAAATCTGCTTGATGAATCTGATGGTCTGCTTGCCGATCAACTCCCGCGCTTGGCAGCTTGTAGCAACAGGATGTTAGCATCGAAGTTTCTCATTCCTTGTGCACAGGAGCCATGACAGTTTGGGACTGGCTTGGGAGCAGTGTCCATTTGCCTTGTGGGATGCAGTATAGCAAGAGCAATACATGGGGAGGGAACACCTTTCTTTTATAATGAGCAGAAGACACAGAAAATACCACACAAACTCGCTCTGGCAACTTTACTTTGAGGGCAGAATTCTGATCCAATTTAAGACGCGTTAGTCATTTGTCAGTTATGTTAGCACTCTGAGATCAGATCGGAGCGCTGAGGAGCTCCTCTCCGAAGCAACACCTGGCTCCAACAGTTCATTGGAAGCGTTGGTGCTGAACCCCAGCCGGGTAAGGCAGAATTGACAGAATATGACAAAATTAATCAGATAATATGAACATATCCCCAATCATTACGCATAGTTTGTTTTGAAAAAGGAAAAATAAAAAGAAAAGCAGGTCACCGGACGTCACTGGAAGTTCTTGCATTTTAGCTCTCTAGCGCTTTCGGGGTCTCACTCATTTTCCCATTATACTTGCCCCTTTCGGGAAGTTGTTGTTTGCCCATGTTTGGCCATAAGCTGTCGCTGTTTCCAAGGCCAGTTTGCTGACCATCACTGGCGGGGTCTTCCTCTCAGCCATTATGCCTGGATGCAAACATCGATTTTTTGTCTTGAACAGTTATCTCAACATGACAACCTCGCATCAACCTGCTTTTTCCAAGGCAATTTTTTTGTGGAGCTACAATATAACAAATATATATATACACACACACACATAGAATCGAACCCTGCTGTGCTTGAGCTTTCTGATCTGAGGAATTTGACAAGATGGACTTCAAGCGATGGGCTCAGTTCAGTTGTTCAGAGACATTTGTTCTCGTTTGGACCCAACAAGAAACTAGGCAATACTTGGGAATAATTTGCGTCGAATCAGTTCCGTTGACACCTGATAGCTTCACAGCTTCATGTTGTTGGCACCTCAGCATTGTCCTGTACGACCATTACGATCTGCCTTGGAGGTACTACAAACAGCTCTGTGATGTCTTCAAGAAAGTGGAGAAAATCACAAAGGACGGGGAGACCTGAAGCAGCCAGGCACAATCACATAATATATCAACATAATATATCTATAATAATTATATATAATATCTATAATACTTATATATATATATACACATAATATATATATATATATGTGGCAGGGACCTTCTGGTATAATATGACCGTACCCCTTGCCTCTGCTGATACAGCTATTTGCCTTCCATTGGGGCCCTTCATGAAATATTCGGAATCTCTCCAGCCACTCCAGGCCAGCTTTTTTCCATGCCCGACTCAAGCCGCTCTCAGCCTCAAGTTCTATGCCCAGCTAACCTTAGGCATCCCAGCCACACACGCTTTGGCCTGCACGGCCCTTTGAAACCGAATTTTCAGCACCTTGTTCTCTTCATCCAAAAAGCGACCTTCGATGGTGCCTGAGAGTCTGGCCGCAGAATCAGAATCGAAACCGAATCAAATAGTAATCCTCATTCAATTTTGGTCAAAATAAGCTTTAAAAACAGGTCTCCGCAATTGAGATGCATCGAAAACACATCAGACACTGAATACCACCATAATTTGTAACCCAATTACAACCAAGACTTCTCAACGCCCGTAATGCAAATAACACCTCAAGATTCCACGTTACTTGCCCAAAGAAGAACCTCTATGTGTTGGAACCAGACATTGTGAAGTCAGACCTAAAAACACTGAACTGTGTCCAATTTTGATTGGACAAGAAGTTTCTCCAAGCCACCCCAAAATTCCAGTTGCTTGACCAGCTCCTCCATCATCTCTTTGCTCTCGCATGGGATAGTCACTTGACACCGATGTTCTGATTGTTCCTGGGGGAATGAGGATATCAACTAGAATTTATAGCGGGTTTACCAATAGATCCCCGTTGCTTGTGCCTTTTAGTCTCATGCCTCGATTTTAGCCAGCTAAAACTCCGAACCTACCCCAAAACAAGGCTGGATAAAATTTGGGCATGAGGTCCTGCATAGGCGAAAATTCGGGCTCGAGACCAAAAAATTATACCACCCCACTTGGTTTGTAGAGAGATATCAGGCAGATAAAATCCAAGGGTTTGAGGTCTATTCGGCCGAGTCAATTTTTGAAAAATGTGAGATCTTTGCAGGTTATGATCCACAATGATCTTCATGATGCTTGGATATGCTCATCGAAAAAAAAAGTTTCCCAGCTCATCCAAATCTTCCAAAAGCCGCAGATTCAGAATGATTCAGAAATTCATTTATACCTGTTGAAGTTTCCAGGAAGGGCCTAGGCAAGCACTTGCTGAAACATCCGAAAAGAAAAAGCTTAGACCTTGGGATTTCAACTCTGCGCATCTGTTTTCACGAACCCAGATTTGTTTCTTCAAATCACTTCCGCAAAACTATAGAATGTAATTGGCACAAATAGGGGACAAATCTTTACATTCTTTACAATCTTTACATCTCAAACCTTATCTAACCTTGGAAATGGGGAACCTTTTGGACCATATAATCTCAGACTCGTGGATTTTATATGATTTTATCTGGTGTTGATTTCTTGACATCCAATCTATCATCATTGATATCCCATAGACTGTTATCTTGTTATATAAAATGTTTAATCTTTAGGATCTTTATATCCCAAATCTTTTCTGACCTTGGACATGGGGAACCTTTTGGACCATACAATCTCAGGCTCATGGATTCTATCTGGGGTCGATTTCTTAATATCATATCTATATGATCTATCATTTTTGATATCCCATAGGCTGTCATGTTTGTTTTACAAAATATTGATATTTTTTAGGATCTTTACATCTCAAACCTTATCTGACCTTAGAAATGAGGAACCTTTTGGACCATAGAATCTCAGACCCGTGGGTTTTATCTGGGGTTGATTTCTTGATATCAGACCCTGCTTGAACTGTTTCATGTACCAAAATCCCTCCTGGATAAAATTCCGTGGGACTGACAGTCAAGAGCATGTAGAATTTTTATATTTGAGAGTAAAGGTATCCGGCGAATAAAATTCCGATACAACCCCAAAATATAAGAAACAGCTACTGGGATAAAAATTTGGTACAAGATACTCAAGGTACCCCCTGGCTATTTTTTTGGGCTGGACCCCCGGGTTCTCAGCCAGGGGTAAGCATCGGGGATCCAATAGAAGCCATGTGCTGCAACACAAGAAACATCGTGAATGTGACAAAGAAATCACGAAATCACTGCTGCACGTGCACTCTGGCGGACAAGCATCTTTCTTCCCGTATGGTCCCCATCGGTCCCTCAAGTTTCAAACAATATTCTTGCAAGAGGGCTAACCAAATATGGGAAAATAGCGTTTGCAACGCGCAATGTTCGATATAGTCATCTTTACAATATATCATATATCCAAAATAGTTGATTTTTTTTGCTCAATGTCGCCCACCGGCGGACAAGACATGAACACGCCTTTCTACCAGTGGAGAACGCTCAAAACAAAGTGGCAACGACATCCACAAGAATTGCAATCGAGGCGCCACTTGCCCCACCCCCTTGACCAGGGGCGCCAGTGGTGCTCCCATGCCGACTCGTCTCCCTGAGGAGGCTATGCCATGACATGAACCCGCTGGAAAATATTGTTTCAGACTATTCCCCGTGAAAACTTAGTAAGGCCCGGGCAAGCCGGGTGACGGAAGTTTCGAAAGACAAAAGTAAGAAGTCTATAAAGAAAAGGGATAACCTATAAGAGCGACTCCTGGCCGCCTGGTTGTCACGGCCGTTGCCTGCGTGATCTCTTGGAACTCTTTCTCCTTTATTTTTTTCTCGACAGTCTTGTCTGATAATGCCGCACTTTCTCTTGATCCGGTTTGCCCTTGACATCCCTGAATCTTGACAGCCCTTCTTGTTGACAGCCCTCAAGCCCGAGACTTGACACACTCTTCTCACATCACAACCAGTGCGGAGACATAAGAAGAACCAGGCCAACATCATCATACCGCCTCATGTCCTGCTTTCCGAAGTTGACCATGGTCTTCCAGCTAGGAAAAATACTAAGAGAAGGGTTCATGTTTCAGGTTTACCTGTGCTACTCAAAGAAACCTTCTGACCCCCGTGCCCTTCCAAATTTCTTGCCTTGAGAAGAGTTTGAGAGATCGAAGGCCGCAAGAACAAGCCTGACGGAGTAGCTTGATGTTCTGAAAATGCTTTTAATACAATCGGAACATTTTGTCTTTGACAAGTCCCACAGCGTCATCTGGCAGGGCGCGCGCCGACTTGAACCTTTTTCTGCGCAGAGATCGGTCAAGTGCAAGCATCCAATAACTCAAAGGCCTAGGCTTTCAAACCTCCTTGCCTTTTTTTGCCCATGATACGGCAAGTGGACACTCTTACTCTGTTAAAGGGAGTCCTGCGCACTTTCTGCGGGAGGACGTGCGTGGCTGGCTTTTTTGCGCAATGCCTCATGGCCGCTGGTCTTTTGATATTGGCAGCCGGTTTTTTGGAAGCATGCGCCTTGACTAATGATGCTTCTTGCTGCCGTCTCTCATTGAGAGGCAAATGAGCCTTGCCACTCTGTCCGGCAAATTTGCTCCAGGGCTTTCGTCGATTCCAGGCAGAAGAGACAACAGATCTAGCCAGCACCAGGCCCGACGGAATTTGCCGCAAAGTTGGTCTGTACATGCCCGCATGGTGGGTCATCAGTTTGGACAGGTGAAGCACCCGCAGTTTGATTTCCAATGTGCTCTTATGCATCTGCTGCGTCTCTCGGAACCAAGCTCGTACTTCAGCATGCAGTGCCTCGTTGGAAGTGGTACCAGCAGGAAGTAATACAACTCGATCTGGCCGCATACTATGGCGCGCCCGGATGTTGTTGAAATACCATTGCATCCTCGCAGGCGCGCAGGCAGTGTACAGCACTTGCCGTCCAGACCGGTTCGGACCGGGAATGATTTTGTCTACATCGTCCGGAAAACATCGGACAAATGCTGCCATGGCCTCAATGCAATCCCGTTCGCATTGCCAAGGCTTCGCAGCATCCAGGCTGTCAAGGAGAGATTCTGCTTTGGCCTTTCCCATTCCTCCACTCAGAATCTGTTCTCGACGTGTCTTGGTGATGTGATCGAACGAAACATCCTGAATGCCGTTGAAAGGCCTGGAGTTGTAGGCTGACATGTTCTTAAAGTCCACGGCATTAAACTTTTGCATAATTGTTCTCAACATGGTTGACGCCTTTGTTCTTCTTCTGTACGTCCCATACTCAAAAGTCATGCATAGGTGGACAGGGTCCAAGCATAGCAGCTCCAGCTTTGGCATGACATTGCGCAATGTCGACAACAAATGCGCAGAAGGATCATCCGTGCACACAATCCGTGTTTGCCGGAGTCCATCTTCAGGCAACGACTCAGCAATGCGCTCGGCAATGGCGGGTGCCTCCTCATTTGGCGTTGGAGCCATGAGCAGTACACAGCCGGTTCGCCCACGGACTGTCAGAACCTGCCAGGCAGATGGTTTCTGAGAATGAAGCAAACAAATTTAGTTTAAACTTGACACCTTTGGCTTTTGTCTAAAAGGAGGCTAACAAACAGCCCGGGCACCTTGCGAAAGCAATCTTTCCCCGTGAAAGCAGCGCTGGCTCGTTCCTGCGGCCCTGCTCTGTAGGAACTCTGGCCGAGAATGGAGAGGCAACACTTCAGGGTTGCATCCACACTGACGGATTCAAATTCCGTATGGTGAACCGCCTCTGCCATAGATTGGGCGAACAGCTGGTTCACGGCGTCGGAGTAGAAGATGTCCTCCACGAGCGGCCACCAGTGTCGAACATGCTGAGGCAAGAGGCCCGTGAGCTTGCTGCCACTTGCTGCGAGTCTCAAAGCCAACCGGCTAGCCGCCTTAGAATCAACAGGGGTTATCGCTTGTAACAAAAACAGTCAATGTCACAATTTAAAGGAGCAACAAAGAGTGCATCCAAGGGATACATGTCTACAAGCTTCAGTCGAGATGCTTGCTTCATTTTTGCATTGCTAACCATCATCTCTTGGAAAAGCATATCTGCAAATCCATGCGTGTAATACAAGTTCTTGGCTCGACGGTACACTGTTTCGTTCTCAGCAACGTGTTGCAAGCTTTTGTACACGGGGCCCTTCTCCGTCAAGACCAAGCGTAATCGACGATCAAGATGATTGATGCTTCCATCCTCATTCCCAATTGATGTTCGCAACACGGCGGCGCTCCTGCGGAGGTAGCGAGCACTTGGCTGTATATTGCGGAGCTGGTCATCGTCAAACAAAGCCTGAATGACTCTGACTTGCTTGGTGCCACTGCAACAGAATTGTCGTTTCGTTGTATGATACTTTTGCACATGCTCCATCACACGAGAAGGTCGAGGGAATTGCCGGAACGGACAGAACGGACAACAGTGCATACTGCCTTCATGCACAGTCTCAGTGCTATCTAGGACTTCACCTCTTTCTTCTGCGAGCAACGCCAGCAACTCTTCGCCCACCTGCACTATTGATTCATCAACATGTGATCCGGCCATGCCTTCATCATCAGAATTCTCCAGCAATCCTTCGCACTCACACAACATCTCCAACTCAGCACCGCCAGATAGATCGAAGCCGGCCTGCAGTTCCAGAAGAACTTCAGATTCTTGCCGGGGTTTTTCGCCTGCTTTCAGCATGCGAAATGTCACTAGGGAGGCATAATCAATTGACTCCTCAGCACATGCCTTGAAAGCATCTGCTGATAGCGCATATACTGTGTCCCGGACTAACACTTTGCAAGTTTCTTCGGCCATTACACATCCAAGGACGAGCGGAGATCCATTGTGCTCACAATGGAGTAGGTACTTCCCCGTCTTCTCAGCACAGAAACCAATGTCTACTGAGAAGGCAACATCTGCAGCTTTGAAACATTCTTTATATGAACGATGTGTTTGACCTCCTTCAATGTTTGCCTTAACTTATGTTCCTGTAGCCATGCGTCCAATGGTGACCAGAGGTCTGCAATGTAGGCCAGGCATGTAAGAATGCCATTTGCAGAGTAGTCGAAGCTGGAAGAAAGTGACAGAGTATCGCAAACACGTCCATCCCTTCCCAACAGCTCCGCGAGAAGCAGGTGCTTCTTCTGCTTCACAACCACCTGAAACCCAGTCTCTTTGGCAATCCACTCCGAAGACTCTTGACACATTGAAGCCGTGTCAAGCGCTCGACCCTGAATTCGGCAACCGTCGAAGTGAAGGGATAAATGCACGAGATCTTGCGTCATGAGGAATTGCACCCAGCTAGACAAAACTAGATCTTCAACAGCTTGGTACAAGTATGCTATCATGGAGTTGTCTGGCGATGGCTTGCTTCTGTCTGCATCACAGTGGCTGTAGAGATCGGGAAAATTTGAAATTGCAAGCCATTTAATCCAGATGGCAGCTTTCCGAAGCCCAACAATTACATCATGTTCCGACAGACGGCTAGGCGGACCGCCACCGTTTATGACTTCAAGCAAAACTTTCTTCCCTTCCGCAGCTGGCAAACCTAGCTCCTTGATCACATCACTGCGTGCCTCAGCGCATCTTTTCAATGCTTTTGCGGCATCATCCGGCATCTTGAACACAGGATCCAATTTATGGATGAGCTGTGACATCAACGTGAAAAAGGCATTTTCAATGTCCTTGGCTTCCACTTTTACAAAGCTAACAAAGGTTTAACTTTCAGGGGTAAGAATCATAAGCAAGAGAAACCCAGGAGAAAAACAATGCGAAAGCTTTCTTTCCAATCCAAGAAGCTAAGTCAATAGATTGAGGGCACAAGAACCTGAGAAGTTTCCGAGAGCATTGCTGTGCTCCTGGCTGACAAGCATACCTTCGTCCACGGATCAAATCTGAGCCTTGTCTGTACTTTGTCTTGCTATGTCGCAATTGCTGCTTCCCTGTGCATCTGTGACTGCTAGCCTGCCCTTCCAGGTCACCAGCCTCACCACCAGCAGCAGCGAGGAGCTTCCCAATCAACTGCCCGTTGGCTTCCAACTTACGCCTCCTTTCGACCAACGCATCGTGTCTGAGCTTGACCTCAGACGTTAACTTTCCGGAGCCTTTCCTCTTCAATGCAGCAATGCTGGCATCCAAGAATGCTATCATAGTGACGACATTGTGTTCTCTGGCAAGATGTTTGGAAGCAAAGTCCCGCAAGCAACTTGTGTGCCACATTTCGGGGAATACTAGTGCCGTGTCGTTTGAGCTTTTCAGATCAAAGACATCCTGCAAACTGCCTTGCCCCAGGACGCATGGAACAATGATCTGCTTTCCTTTGCCGCGCTTTCTTGCTATTTGCTTTACCAATAAATGCTCTTGTAGCTGTGTCAACATGCTCTCTTTGTCTAAATTGGGTGCATTCGAAGGCAGAGACATGGTCTTGAACTGTTGCAATGTGAACATGAAGAACCCCTTTGAAAGACATTCCTCCACAATGCGGCGGGCCACTGCTTCAGAACCTGTTTTTACACTTTCTGCTTGATCCTGGCTTAGTTGATCATCCACAGGGCCTAGCCCAGGAGCAGCGATCTCGGCACGCTGACGCGGTGGGAGCCCACAAGCGATTCGCATTTTGTCCTCTGTCAATCCCTGATCACCACCCAAATTGCAATATGATTCTATCATATGTATGCATTCAGCTCGTGAGTATGTATGTTCAAACGCGTGCTGCAGCTGCATGCTGCTGGCGATTGCTGGTCCTGAGACAAGGAACTCCTTCAAAGTTGGATCTTTTGGAAAGTACCCATCCAGCGCCGCATCTGTGTAATGCTCTTCCAAGTATTGCGGACATACAAATCGAGCGTGCGGACGCCAAAGGAAACTGCGCCGCAGGATTGATGGGAAGTTATGCTCAGATACACCCTTGAACTGCATCAGACGATTGACCTCCATCCTCTTCCATCCGGTAAGTTCAATCATGCGGGTGACATACCCGTACGGCCGCCTCCCAGCCATGCCATCTGCACTCATTGTCTTTTTGTACAAGTCTTCCCGCATTCGGCGTGAAGTTTCAGGCGCCTCCTGCGCTGTTAAGATAAAGCAGCCTGCAAATTGCTCAATCTGCTTCCGGAGCTCTTGCTCATCGTACCAAATATTAGGGTCAATGAATGCGTGATTGTGTCCATAAACCGCATTCAAGTGAGAACTGTATAAAGATTGGCCTACTCCACCGGGGCTCTCACCAATGAAGCATCGGTCAATATTCTCACCCCTTTTCGCGATGGCTTGGGCTGCCTGACAGCACAAAAAGACATCGAAGTTCCGCCAAAAGGTCTCGCGGAAAAACTTCTCCAAACGGCAGCTCGCAGCTTGGAGGACGGGATCCGGCAAAGAAGGCTTTAAGGCATGCGGGATCAATGTGTAGAGGTTGTTGTCGTGGCTTGGCTGCACAAATTCCACATTCTCTTCATTTGAATCATACACAACGCATATATCTTTGTACGCACAGCCAGCTTGCTTCTGGCAAGGCGCTTCACACCATTCAATCATGAGACCATATATCTTATCATCCATGACTTCCTTTTGCAGGGTTACGCTCAACTTGCTTAGGGCGATAGCAATGGATTGGGTCCACCCTCCTGCATCACCAGTTGCCGCCGCTTCTGGTTCCGCATCATCAACTTCATCAAATTGAGGCGCTCTGCGGCCGCGCGGAAGCTGCTTCATGAAGAGCGCGGCAGATATCCACTTGTCAAGTAGCACCTTTATATCTCCATTCGCATCTGCCTCCATGCCTTCTACCATTTGCACTATACTCTCCTGTGTTCGATCTACTGCTCCTTGGATGCTTCGAAAAAACCCTTCGACTTGAAGTATGAACTCTTTGATCCGGGCAACTGTTTGTTCCGGCGGGCTTCCGCGAAAGACTTGGAAAGCCCCGCAATCATGGTACAGAAAGCATTGTCCGTTGTGGACACGAAGGTAGCGGCCACCTTCCATCAGCCAGATCAAGTAAATATGTTCCCGGAGGTAGGCATCGCAGAGCCGCATGTGGGGCAAAACGCAAGCGCACGCCACCAAGCGCACAAGCTGCTCAGGCCATTGTGGCTTGCGAGCACGCACCTGCTTGATCATGTAGCTGCTCTGTTGCAAAAGGGAATGGCTCTGCTCAGGCTTTTTGATTGACGCCTGCTGCAGAGATGTATTTGCAGCAGCCCGCAAGCTGTCAAATTCTTTCTGAAACTTCGGCATGGACTGAGCAGCTCCAGGAAGCAAGCGGCGCTTCTTGCATTGTCTCAGATTTGCATCATCTACTTCTGGCAGTGGGTTTGCTCCATCATCCTCAAGAGCTTGACTTGCAAGTCCTTCAGGTTGCTGTGCTTCTTCCGGTCCCTCTGGCCCACCCCTCCCATCTCTCCTACTAGCCGCCTCCTCGGCTTTCGCCTGCTCATTCAGCCAATCCATTTCTTTCTCAAGTTGTTCCTCAAAATCTGATCCTCCAGACACATCAACAGCATGTGCTTTGTCCCGCCGCAAACTCATCACGACTTCAATCTCCTTGTCGAGACGCGGCACATGGTCGATGAAAGGCCGCAATTGTTGGTCGGGGTGGGTGCAAACCACTAGCATCATAGCCACCTCAAAGCCGTAGTATTTCTCCACAATATACCTGTAAATGTTCAGTTGGAGCCGGTAATGCCACCCAGCACAGTCCGGAACATGATCTAAAGGCGGTAGCATCGTCCACGGCGAAGAGAATTTCGATGCTAGGCTGGAGGTCCGCTTCCAGTCAATCAGTGCCAACTGCCCATTTGGGTTTTGTGCAGTGAGATCGATTGACCCAGCAATGTTCTCTTCCTCACCAAAAATAACCCATTCCGTGCGGAAGGCGCGCCACCCTTGCATGTCTTGTAAGAAGGTTTCAAGCATCGAGAATTCTGGACTTGTTTTTGGCACCACATATCCATTCACATGCGCTTCAAACCAAAAATGCATGTGGGTGCCTCGAAGAGCAGCATCAATTCGGTTGGCTTCCCACATGCGCTTGATTTCATGCGGGCCAAATACCAGACTCTGGACAATCTCTGGAAAGTTCGTCCGCAGGCTCTGGAGCCGGTTGGAGATCCATGTATCATTGCGGGGGGAGTCCAGGAGAGCAAGCACAAGGTCTGCATCAACTTGGCGGACGCGCTTCAATACAGTCTCTCCTAAGAATGGTCGCAAATAGCCTGCGCGAGGCCATCTGTCACCTGCCATCATATTGGAAATTACTTCGTCGGCATCGAATGGTCGTGCCAAGGCATGGATCAACCCAGTCACAGATCCATTGGTCTGCTTGCCACGGATGTAATACACGTGGCCTTCAGACTCGAACCGAACGTGACGGTCTCTGTCATGGGGGTGAAGCCATGCCAGAGTTGTGATGTCTACGCAGGGAGCAAAATGTTCGTGACGATAGGGAACCATAGCATCCACGCTGTCTCCCCGCAACGGCAACTCCATTCCAAGTCCATGCGACCATTGCACCAACTTCAGCATTTTGCGGGAACGGGCCACGCCCCTGTTCTCCAAGATTCGGCGGGTCACATCTTCTGTGCCACCTTGGCTCACATCTTCTGCGCCACCTTGCCTATCCTCAAAATTTGCGGGTCGTGCAAGTTCCTGCCGCAGGGCTGCTGACAGCAACAAAACGGGATTTCCTCTAGGCTGCTCTCTCTTGGGTTTGCGGTGGTTGTTGCTGAGCAAAAATCTTTGCAGAAGAACCCAACGATGACAGATGTTTGTCCCCATTGAACTCAATTTCTTTGGGGTGGTCTGCGGCAAAGGTGTGGCCAGCACTGAGAAGAAGAGGACAGCAGTAGATAGCTGCCTCGCTCTAGAACGTGCGCTGGATGATGTGTTCCTTGTGCTAAGAATGTCCAATAAGGACATGTCCTGCAAAATTTCTGGCCAAAACCAGGTGATGAGGGCACCCTCCAGCTTCACGACTTCGCCCTTCTGCAGCAAATTCAAAAACGTGGAGGCAGCAAACAGCTTCACCTTCCACTGTTCCTTGCTTTGCGAGACATCAAATGGCACCGGCAAAATCCAAAACAATCTCGGGAATTTCTGCAATGTGGGCTGGAGAGGCTCCACATATAACTGAAACAATTGCAATTGATGCCACACCCGGGGCCGATCTGCAGGGAGCGGATTGCGAAACAAGTACAAGTGCAAAAGGCGCTCCGTTGGTGCGTTTGACTCGGCCCCTCCTTGGAAGTCAGCTTCATCGTGCAAGACATATTCACAGAGCAGCTTGCGCATGCACTGGCAAAGCTTTTCCAATGGCCTGCAAGTTGTATAGGCTGACAAGGTTCGCAAGTTTAAGAGAAAGAGCATGGTATACGACATGTCATGCCAACAGCCTTCCAAAAGGGCACCCTTAGTGTCCACTTCACGGCCCCAAAGTAGCGGGACATCTCCTTCCTCATTGGGAGTCAAAGGGTCAGCCCCTGCCATGATCAGCTGTTTCACGAAAGCCACGTTCTCGCTGATGGCAGCAAAATGTAAAGCGGTTTCGCCATGCAAATCCCTCACATGCACATCAGCCCTTCCAGCCAGCAAAACCTGCACAGTCATTGGCGAATGTGTGAGAACGGCAAAATGCAAGGAAGTCCGGCGGTCATTGCCAGCAATATTAGGGTCTGCCCATGCATTGAGGAGCAAAAATGCAGAATAGAAGAAGCCGGCTGAAGCTGCAGTCACCAATACTGGCTCTAAGCGGCGAGTGCGGTCGATCAAGCCCATGCAATCTGGCTCTTGGCCATTACTGAGGAGGTCGATCACTGTATTGTGGTTTTGCGCTTGGATGGCTTTTGATAAGGCAAGTCTGTGACAGTTGGTCCTGGGTTTAAGAATCACGTGCATAAGTGGCGGGGATCCAGCTCTGGCCCATGTCTGCGCAAATGGAACAACTTCATTGCCCACCAGAAAAACAACAGCGAAGGGAAGGTGCCCTAGATGCAAGGCAACCTGCTGCTTTAAGGTCAGGATGGTGTCGTCATCTGATACGAACAAGGCACAAACCGTCACTCCTGTGCAAGCCATCTGGAACGAGACAATTTCACTACCGCCTTCAACATCGTCGGCCAATGGGAACATGAAGCTTTGCTGTCACATGATCTTGCAAGTGTTCCACAAAGCAGAACGCCCACACAAATCCACTAGTTCCTCCGTGTGCCGCGCCAACACCTCAAACATGGGCAGCCTATACCAGCACTCATCCATGCAGACAGCTATGCATAGCCCAGGCGGGGCCAAGGAAAATCCAGAATCACCGGGGAAATGCTGGCTCAAAACATCTGCACCGAACCAGATCAAAACCTGGAGCGTGCCGAACTGTTGGCTGGAATCTGTGCACATGGTATGATGGATGGGCCGTAGGCCTTCATGGTCTGGCAGCTTTCGATCAGGGGCTGACCGGAGCACCTCCAATGCGCCTACTGGGTCTGTCTGGCTAGCGGCAATGTGAGATGCGGCCTGCAAGCATCCAGCTGGAATCGCGTTGCGATGAAAAATGGCGTGAATTAGGGCACTGTCCTGCAAGATACAATTTGGATTCTGCTCCCGCCCCAAAATTTCCACCTCAGATCCGCCCCGCGCATCTTGCCGCCAGTGTTTGCAAGCCCTTTCCCACTGCCTTTTGCTGACATTGTGGTCGCATGGGTTGGGGATGGCCTTCAAGCTGACACCGCCGCTGGCAATTTGGTGCCGATTCTGGCGCAGCAGCGTAATATACAAGCGCAATCTCTTGCTCACGCGGCTTTCCTCCACTGAGCCCACTTCGGATATCAAATTGCTACAGAACAAGCTGCGGGTGGATGACAGGCAGCTGTTCCATTCTGACTGAGACGTGTGGAGGAATGGACATGGGATGCGGGTCCACAATTCCGGCTTGGCTGTCAACAGCGCTATGTAGTCAGCACACAGCCCTTCAAAGGCAGCAATGCGACTTTCCAGGAAATCTGGGAAAAGCATGAAGATTGGCACTGAGACAGGCTTGGAGCCAACCAAGGATCTGGGACTGGAAAACTCACTGTCGAGGAAATTTGGCTGCTCAAACAACGTGCTAGTGCTAGATGCATCCGAAGTAGGTTGCGTTAGGGCTCCGCCCTGGAAATCGATGGGCGAGCAGGCATCAACCGCTCTGTCAGCCCGCAGGGGGATGACCTGGAAGATGGCCTCGAATGAGCTCGTATCGAACTTATTGGCGTCACAATCAATGCCGATGTGGCATCTGCACGACGTTTGCAACCGACAAGTGCCATCAGAAAAGGCCCGGAAGCCTTGGAAATGATTGCGGCGATACAGCACGTACTTCCCAGTTGGAAGCACCGACGGGGCTACCCTGAGCATAGTAATAATATACCTGATGCAGGGACGACAATTAAGCAAACCTGCATTGCTCGACTGAATAATCCCGACAACATGCTCCAATGGCCGCCAAGCTGCCCCAAAGGCTCCAACATTTTGGCTCCGTCAGACACGGCCCAGAATGGACCGGGGCCCGTATAAGGTACCTTGATACCAATGGAGCGGAAGGCGTCCACCAGGCAGGTGTCCTTGAAGGGCATTTCGACCGAAGCTTTTTTCCTGGGATTGCACTCATCTACGATCTTCCAACTACCCTTAATCCAATGATGTCCTTTTTGTGGGTGGTTGCTGTTACCGGGTTGATAATTGTTTGTGTTTATCAGCTTCCACAAAGTCCTGTCCAATATGCCAACACCGCCTGCGTTTACCTGTGTTTGTAGAATGGTGCGAACAAAGAACTTGAACAATGAACCTGAAAACAACATGCCATCACTGCAGCTACATAGCATCGGTAGCTTGAAGTCAGACAACTTGCCACGCGCTGGCTGCGCCTTCTCACGCGGACCTGAAGGGAGCCATGATATCGTCACATAGACGCTAACCGGAGCACTGACATGAAGGACCTTCTTTGCATCTAAGAGGCAATGGAGACGTTCTTGAGCAACAAGTTCTGCGTACTCATCGAAGATTGCGTCTGCGGCCTTGTCCATGCGCTTCAATCTCCGAGTCCGGGATTTGATGGCATTGACATGGACATTGGTCCAATACACGTCTTCGTAGCGACGTCGCCGCTGACGCTTGGTAATGCCCGGCCTCGAATGCGGAATTTTATCGACCACGTCGTATTTTGCACTTGCATGTGGCAATGTTTCTTTGTTCCATACATCACTGCAAAAAAGATACTCCCGCAATCTGCTGTATGCGGCTCCTTGCTGTGACCTCATGAAGACTGGCAAGCAGAAGCAGCTAAACTGTTGTTCCAAGCCTGGATGGCACTGTTTGAAGCTAAGTGGCAGGAGGGCATCCATGGCAAAGCACCTGCGTCGCAGACAATGTGTAGCAAACAAAGGTGAGCCACAAGGACAAGTCATGCATCCATCATATTGAAGTTATACTTGCTGCCAAGCTTCTTATCCGACTCATCGCAGCCTGTCCTGACACACTGGCGGATTGAATACTACTTGCTTCTTTGGTGTTTTTTAGTAGACAGAAGCTCTTGTGTTCTACTCAAGTTTTGCAAGCACCGTGTAAATTAGTTGGACCAAGGGACTTAGGGAGGCTGCTGTCATCCGCCTTCTTGCCAGGGCCCCTGGGTGGAGGACAGTTTGCTTGCCAATGGACCAGCATGAACCGCTGGAATTTCTACGTTTTTCCTCTCTACGTGCAGGCAAAGCGCCATCCATGAAACCTCCTGTAGAAGACAGGTCGCGCCAGGCGACGCCAAGAGTGAGAACAGGACGTTGGCAGCCGGGCCGTCGAACAGAGCCAGGAGGTAATTTTCTGGACGAGGCCATCACCTGCAACAAACAACACAGAATTCGAAGGTAAGGGCCACTCATAGGAAGAAACTTTGTTTACAAGTGTTATACAGGAACAAAATCTGTATGGCACAAAGCTAGGGCCACTGACACCAACGAGTATTCTGCCACAAGCCAGTCGTCGCACTCTTCTCGCAAGCAATCTCGCACTCCCAGCGCTTCCCAATGCAGAAACGCTTCCCTGAAGAAGCGCCACGGGCAGGCAAGCCCCAGGCAAGGCAGACAGAAGTTTGGCAGGCGGAAGGCATATCATATGCGTCCAAGGGACAGCGTCCTTGCTCACGGCATTCATGATCGCACTCGTGCTCCAGACGCTTCCGAATGGATTCCATAAAGTATCTGCCTGGATGGGTCTAGCAGTGCAGCACACACACAGAACAAACACACACAAGCACCGTCAGCTTCGGGCAGCCCATGTTAATCCATGAGGTTCTAAACCAAGGGTCACCAAGACGCATGCTCGTCTTGCTTCCGGCGCAATCGATCAACCACTGCAACCATGAAATATTGGCCTGAGTGCGGCTGCTTGGGGCACTCAGGCAAGGACCATCGCCTATACCGCACATGAAGCAACGTCTAGTCATTTGCCGCTTTGAGACTTTGCTACCCGCTCACGTTTCTTAAGTTAATGACACCAGCCCGTCTCCACGCAATCCACATCTCCTCGCCATACCAGAGGCCCCCACCGTCCTTCACACAGCTTTCAAACTTAAAAGCAATTGTCACCTTGCACCCTATTTTGGCGAACCCGGAACAATGGCTATACAGTTCATGTTTTCAACATCATGAATCATGCCTCAGTAGCTGCCATCAAGAGATGCCATGTGCAAACAACAGGCCTTCAATGTGGCCTCGTTGGTTAAACTTCATGCTTTCGTCAGCACCTGGGCATGCAAGCGGTGGGAGCTGAACGAAAAAGGAACGGCACATCCCAGTCCATGACATAGACAGAATGTATCTTTACTTAGCAGCACCGATGTTTGCGGCCGAGGCACATCGGGATGGCTTACGACACATATGCAGCAACAATGCCGCGCCATGGTAGCACCCCAAGTTGCGCACACCCTCAGCTGCCAATCCGAGAGGATCAAAAGGCATCATGGCAACCCAAGTGTTGGAGGCGAAGTAAGCGAAGTTGCGACAAAACGCTAGAGGCGAAGTTGCTGCGGCGATGCGAGCGACAGCATTGCAGTCTTGCGGCGACATTGGTAGCTTTGTCCTTTTCCCACCTCTTATCTACCGAACTGTCTGTACTTACTACGCACCATGAGTTTTGCAAAGGCAATGGACTGCAGCCCCGCGATCTTGCCTGCAGCAGCTTATCTACCATATCATAGGGCGCTTGGTCACCGCCACCTGCCACCTGCAAAGCCGTTGCTGGCGACGCCATTCGCAACAATATTGCGTTTCCACCGTAAACGATGAGATGCATAGAGAATTGATGAAGCATTGCTTAGTAATTCGAGTCCACGCCCTGCATATCAGAAACCACAGGATTGGTCATTCAAAGAAAACAAATTGCTGACTCAGACTCGGCGCTGCTACTATGCAATTTCAACATGCGCTCTTCATGGCAAGTGTCCTTGTCTTTGGATGCTCAGCAGTGCTGCTCCACTACCACATGAAGTTCCAGGTGAACCCAAGGGTTAACCTGGAGGCTTCATGCTGTGCATTGTTCTGCTATGAGTATTTGCTTGCTCTCTATGGGAGGGATGCCCTTTTGTCTGTGATGCTGTGGCTCCTGACACACTGCTGGGCCTCAAGCTGCAGGACAACTCTGCTTGTGCACGCTTGCACTCAGCAGTGCTGCTCCACTACCACATAAAGTTCCAGGTGAACCCAAGGGTTGACCTGGAGGCTTCATGCTGTGCATTGTTCTGCTATGAGTATTTGCTT